TTTTGTGGAACGGTAGCAGAACTGATGTGCTCCAATCGGAAGGAATGGTTTCGGAATCCCGAATTGAGCAGAACAGCGAGTGCAGCGAATCGATTAGCGCTGGAGTGCAGGACTTGTATATTTCTGGAGGTAGACCATCTTCGCCCGGAGCTTTTTTGTTTCTGAGTCTGTTAATTGTTTTAGCTATTTCGGTTGGAGTGGGTGGATCGCAGTCAACTACGTAGGGTGTTGGTAAGTGTCGTATCGGTTGATGTGACGGTTGACCAGCGTTGCGATTGAGTAGCTGCTTGAAATGTTCGACCCATCGTTCCATCTTACCATTGGTGTCCGAAATAATTTCTCCTAATGCTGTGCGAAACAAAGCATGGCTGTTAAGGCGTTTGCCAGATGATAGGCGTATGAGCCGATAAAGTTTTCCGAAATCACAGTTATCTTCCTCTTCTCCAGATGTAAGTGATATGCTATTATGAACTTCATTCATTCGATTTAAATTGAGGTGGCAGAACAACACTTATCACTGAAGATTACAATATCATCTACATTGCTTCTATAAAGTGGTACATTTACGATTAAATCCTCCGATAAATTCTCAATGTACGACATATAAATATCTGCTAAAAGGGGCCCCTCAGTTTCTGGTCTGTTTGGTATAAAAGAGCCTTAGTCATGTTCCTCTTCAGTAGAATCCAACGTGTTTGGGGCGTATCCCAAAGTTTGTGGAACTCCTAACTAGCAATTAGGAAGTTTAAACCACCTTTATGCGTTGAAAGCAACAATTCGTCATCACACTGAACCGCCTTCCTTGTTAAATTTTGTTTTAATACCAGTTAGGCTGATGTACTATTACCTCTGCTATTTGGTTTAGTGGTCTTCATTGTTATTTTGACCTTCAATATGTCCTTTTAACTTGACCTAACTTGTCTATTTTTCACTATATGTATATATATATATATGTTTTTTAATAAATTATATCCCGTAAGGGAATTGAATCAGTTGGTTTAAGCCAGCCACTTAAGGAGACGTTAGACTGCCTAGTTAGTGTCCTCAATATGCTAAGAAGAACATAAAATAATAATAATAATAGTTGTATGAAATCATCCAGTTATAATGTTAGTGATGATAATCATAGTTGAATGTCAAGTGGGAAAACAGTTACTGTCATATATAGAATATTTCATAGGTTATATAAAACTTGAAAGGAGTGTGCAATTATATGTTCAGTAGACAAATCGAATAAAATAAAAACGTTACGTATCTTTGTGTGAAATTTGATAACATAGAATTTAACGTTGCAAAACAGAATTGATGTAGAACTACAAGTGGGACTATGTTATGTGTGTTATGTCTTTAGTGGATATATATATATATATATATATATATATATATATATTCACTCATGTGTTACAGAGATTTAGTATTACTATCTGTTAACTTAATCAGAGGTTGTTTTTATCGTATAACACCTTTCTTTGTATGGACTTGTTAGTAAACTTCTGAAAACCACGTGAATGAATACTGATGGATATCTGTTTCCTTCGAATTTAGGAATCTTCATCAGTGCGTACTCACTCCACTACCCTTAGATTAGATGACTAAGACAAACACTATAACATTCAGTTACTGGTGTTGAATTCAATTCACTCCCAATTCACTATACAAACAGCATTAGTATGTATATCTCTCTCCACGCTTCACTGACACCGCAGCTCATCGATTTTTTCCCTTATACCCACCCCATCGGATATAACTTCTTATTTATAACCTTGGGAAGTTCATCCTCTAGTAATGCGTTGGATTTTTCTTCAGGGTTTAATTAGATATCAAAGCTCCCCAGTTTTCAATGGTTTACTGATTTATGCTGCTATCTTGAGGAAATTTATCTTGGAATTATTGTTTTGTGTGTACTCTAATCAACTCTGTACTCAATTAGAATTGTAATCATTTTTTTGTATATATGCACTTTTGCATTATGTTGTTATCATTACTGTCAGGCGTTGAAATATCTTAATGTATAAATAAGGATAAGTTTTAAGGTAATTTGTTGATATGCTCTGTGTGTGTACGTATTTTAGTCAAGTGAAACTTTTGCTCTACTTATTAACTCTTCATAATTTTGAATATCTTGAATATCATGATGGTGTCATTGTATTATCCTACGTTAAGCTGTGAACAGTAATGAGGTTATGTGTGTAGAGTGTGTTGGGTAAAGAGGGTAAGTCAATCGATTAGGTTGTGAAGCTGTATCGATTGATTGACATGGCTAGGACAGAGGTAGGTGGTATTACGCATTCTGAGGCCACTGCCCCCACCCCGTGTGGAGCAATATTAGCTCACGTAGAATTTGGTTGGAAAAAAGTGAGGGATGATCAAATCACATAAAGTCTTTGACAGTTGGTTTAAGTCAGCCACTTAAGGAAACCTTAGACTGCCTAGTTAGTGTCCTCAAGATGCTAAGAACTAATGGCTGGAGGCTATTAGGGATATTATGGCTCAAGAGAGTTGATAATGCTGCGGACTCACTCACTCTCCCTTTGTAAGCCTTCGTTTGTTTCTATGCTACTATTTCTTCTTCTCCTCTTTTCTCTGTCTTTCTAGGCTGCATGGAATGTGGTAACATGAACTGTCGCAATTCTGTGCATAGTTCTCTGTTGAAACTCATTCACTCATTCAGTAGTATAGAATGCTTTAATTTATCAATCACTTTCAGCTTTTTACTAGTCAAAGTGTTGTATATCATCAATTATGTACCTCCTATTCTTCCTTTTACCCTTTGATGTAAACCTCTCCTCTTTCATGATGGGATAATATTTTTTTTGTTGGTAGAAAGGAAACAGTTTGGTACAGTCTGGTTTATTTTACTGATGACGTTTCGACGACAGTTGATTGCTATTCATCGTCATCACCATCATCATCATCATCATCGAAATCAAGTCACTGATATTGTAACAGCAGTACGCAAAACACGGGATCAAAGGTGTCCTATACAGTTTATATTGTTTAACCAATCACTGAGTGTATGATTTTGGCTTAATACATTAAACGACATAAAATAGAATATAGAAATACACATACAGTATTCTGTTGTTAATGCAGTATTGAACTGTAGGATTGTAGTATTCAGACGTTAACGCCAACAAATACAGTGTCGGTGCGTCGGTGGTACAATGGTTAAGACTCTCACCGACCATGAACAAGGTCCGGGGTTCGATCCGCTGCCGACGCACACCCGTTATCAGTGGTCGGTCTCCTAAATTTGGGCTACCGATATCACATGCTGAAAATTCCATACTTGTATCAAAACAACGGTGTGGAATCAAGCTATAATCGAAAAAAATAATTCTTACTGTCAAAATAATATTCCGTTGGAAGCCATTGTCTGTATCACACCGCCACAATATAACTTTCCAAATGAACGAGATAGTTATCTAGGATAAATACCTTTTCTATACGTTTCATTTCATTATTTAGACTTTCTCATGTCTTCCTTTGAAGTTGTCGCTTGGTATGTTGACGACTTAACGTAAGCCTAACCTTACACGGATAACTGATAATGAAATGAAACAATTCGTGCATCTCACCTATTCTTCTTCACTGTTCATCCTTATTCGTTGATGTATTGCTTAAAAAAGACAATGGCATACTTCGTAGAACTCTGAAGACTGTCAGTCAGTAGGCCGAGTGGTGGAATCGAATTGGGCCAAATCGTTGACGTTGTCACTAATGATAGGCACCAGATGTCATGCAACAAATTCGCTAAAGGGCTCTTGTCAGACTGTTAGCATTCCCCACTTTACCCTTAGCTCCGACTTTGTGTCTCCTCCTCAGGTAAAACCAGAAGTCTTTTCGGTCGGTTTTCGACATAGAACTTTGCACCGATGTGCTGCAGTTCAAGTCGCCACACTTCATGTAGCACACAAAGCAAGAGAAGAAAGTAGGAGAAATGCATAATAGAGACAGTAAACAGAGGTGTTAGACAAAGGAATAGTAGTAACGAAGAACAAAACAGTTTCATTGGAAATCATAAGTCACAAGGAGTGTATGCATCTGCACTAGCCATTGAGAACGATTTTGAGCCATGTCACCAACTGTCTCCAGCCTCCATTGGTTTTTACCGTCCCGAGGACCCCAACCAGACAGCAGGGTACACCCTACAACGTGGCTTAAACTAACTGTTGTAGATTTCATTGACTGATGAGGCCATGTTTTGGTTTGACCACCACTGGCTTTTTTCCAGCCTGACCCTATATCAGCTAACATTGCCCGTCGAGGAAGGCGATGACTAGGCATACGTAACACATATACTAAATATCTCAGTCGATGTAGCTTCACACCGATGTCGGTTGATTTCCCCTCCTTACCTAGCACTCGACGCCTAACCTCAATATTGTTCACCTTATTATACCACTTCACACGGGAGATAGAACGCAGACACCTATGATCAAAGACACCTACTCTTTTCAGGTCTTTCCAGAAGACTTTATGCACGTACGTACAAAAATTCCACAATACCATAGTGGGTGGCACTTACTTTATGTGATGAAAATATTGTTAGGTATGAGCTAACTAACTAACCTTCTTTGCACTATTAAATAAACCATTTTCCTCCACTGTTACAACACCAACCTTCATTGTTATTGTACTTCTTGTATTTATAATCCTCGCAATTTTTTGTTTTTATTTGTTAATTTTTTCGTAAGTGTGAACATCATTTAAGCTGTGCTATAACTGTTTATTTTGTATTTCCACTCACCATGCTGCTACATTAACAGAACATTAGATTCAATAATTTATAACATGCTAAAATTTCCAAACTGAATCAACAATACTGTTTGAAACAAACTCACTGTTATTATTATTATTATAATATTTAATATTCTCAATTCGTACTTCGAATATTTTTGACTTTATATCGTAAATGTGGACAAATTCCTCTGGTTAATTTTGTTTTAATTTCTAATTTTATTTATATTTTGAGTAAATCAGATACAATATCGTGACAAATGGTGAGAATTTCATTGTGTATAATATAAGTACTGTTTTTGGAATAAAGTAGATTATTATTATTGTTAAATAGAAGAAGCATTAGTGCTAAATTAGGAGAATCAAAAATGTTCAGAATTAAGAGAGAAATAGTAGTGAAACTACTAACCCCATAACATGACTTAGAATATGCAGACGATATAGTCCTTCTAGGCGAGGATGCTGACAAAATGCAGAGTCTTCTGAACACCCTGAGCTGCAATCTACGTATGTTTGGCATGCGATTCGCTCCTGCCAAATGCAGGATGATGTTACAGCATTGGACTACACTGACTCCTAGATTAGAAATAGGAAGTGAAGTGGTAGAGCACGTTGACCACTTCACTTACTTGGGAAGTACCATCAGCCAACGCCAACGGGTTGATCTCTGACGAAATCTCATCACGGATAAAGAGGGCTAGTTTCGCATATGCCAGTTTACGCTGTCTGTGGCGTAGACGTGATATCAGACTGGCTATCGACCAAAGGACGGGTGTACTGCTCATCAGTCCGCTCCGTCCTCCTTTATGGCTGTGAGACCTGGCCATTGAGAGTGGAAGACATGAAAAGATTAGCTGTCTTCGATCATTGGTGTCTGCGTTCTATCTCCCGTGTGAAGTGGTATAATAAGGTGAGCAATATTGAGTTTAGGCGTCGAGTGACATGGCTCAAAATCGTTCTCAGTGGCACAGATGCATCCACTCCTTGTGACTTATGATTTCCAATTAAACTTTTGTTCTCCGTTATTACTATTCTTTTGTCTCACACCTCTGTTTACTGTTTATATTATGCATTTCTTCTACTTTCTTCTTTTGCTTTGTGTGGTACATGGAGTGTGGCGACTTGAACTGCCGCACATATGTGCAAGATTCCATGTCGAAAACCGACCGACCGACCGACCGAGTTGTCGACGCAAACAGTAACTCTTATGTTATGTTAGTAAAATTTACTATATTATGAAATAGCTTGGTGATTATTATTATTATTGCTTATCATACATGCACGCTGTAAATGATAATCCTTTGACAATTTCGTAGTCATTTCATTTGATTTGTCCCCAACACTCTATAATGATTCAGTGGAAGTTGTTAGTTACTCCACTTTATTATTACATCATGATTTTCACTTCCTTTCCTTTTTTTTCTTTTCTTTTGTCTTTTACATTTAGATATCAACTCTTCGACGTGAAGATTACGATGTACATAAATCTGAAGAAGAGTATTCTGATTTAAGAAATGCTGCACGTTTGAATGCTGGAAAACGTTGTAGAGGACATCAATCTCCAGTAGCATTTATGATTGTTGCTTCAGGTTTGGATTCAGTAAGTGTATACCCGTATGTGTCAGTATATGTGTATTCGATAGTTGAGGCATATTCATTAGGTCTTGTAAATCATCATTCTCAGGCTTTATGGACCACTGTAACCGTTCTTGTATGATTTATATGACTCTGTAATCACTATAGAATGCTCGTTGACCACGTGTATGGTGTGGGGTTCGATCCTCAGTCACAGGCGCACTCCTTCACCTCGCCAAACCAGTAGTAAGACTGGTAAATAGGGAAGGTTGGGCATGAGGCTAGCAACCCCATCCCTTAAAAATAAATACCACTGCTACCGAAACTTCAAAGCTGTAGCTTGAAGCCCTATGTCCCACTGGCAACGTAGAGGGATATATATGTATATATATATATATATATATCGTTGGACCTAAGGGGTTTTAAGCCTGTCAGTGGATGAGGTTGTGAAGTGGCCAATATGATTTGATTGGAAAAGAGTGGGAGACGGTCAAACCAATCCATGAAGTCTCTGACAGTTAGTCTGAGCCAGGTAAGGGTCATCGAGATGCTAAGATACTGAAGACTGCTGATCTAGCTCAAAAGCGTTCTCATTGATGCAGATATGTTCACTCTGTGTCATATCCCCCAGACCCATTGAATTCAAATATATATTCTTTGATGTTACTGTTCTTTCTTCTGTGGATTTGTGCTCACTATAGTTCTTTTAAATTTCATTCCCTTCTTTTTCCCTACGTTTTTGTGGCATATATATATATATATATATCGTGTGACAGCTTGAATTGGTACTCTTCCGTGCAAAGTTGTACGTTGCAGCCTAGTCAGTCTGTCAGTCTAGGAGTAGAGTGTAGTGATCATATCTCCACACGTGAAGAGTTTGGGGAAAATAGGCTTTTTTGCCGATGTGCAATAGTTGCCATACTTTTTTTAACCTTATGCAAGCATTTGACTGTATCGATCCAGGGGTACTTTGAAATGAGTACTGAAAAAGTATTTTCTACTAATCAAGGAGAACACCACTGTAACTTATACAACCGTTTGAAAGCTTATCTGTCTGTCTGTCTGGATTCAACATAGAACTTGGCACCGAAGTGCACCAGTTCGAGTTGCCACGTTCCAAATACCACACAAAGGTAGACAGGAAAAGGAGAGAAGAGAGTCAATAGAATTTAGATAAGTATAAGATTGAAACAGAATGAGTAATGGTAGAAAGGAATATGAAGGTTAAAGAGACTGAATACATCTGCGCCATTGACAACGATTTTGAGCCATGTCACCTATTGTCTCCAGCCATTGATTCTTAGAGTCCCGAGGGCCCCAACCCGGAAGTCTGCATCTCCCTACCCTGAAAGCTTATGGGGAATTTTCATCTGAAGTGATGACAGTCATGGATGTCTAGTGTCATTATTTGAAGAAAAAAAATCCATTATGGAAGTACTAATGGGTATTTGGTGACTTAGAGGTAGACTTGTTGATATTTGTCGACATGATATTGTCCTTCTAGGTGAGAAAGGTTTGACAAAAATGCAGAGTCTTCTGAACACCTTGATTAGAAATGTTAGTATATTTGGCTTACGATTCTCCCTTGTCAAATGCAAAATTATGCTACAGGACTAGTGTACACTTGTCACGACAGAAGGCAAGACTCAGACAACAGATTGTTTACTATGGAAATCAACACATATTTATAGATTTTCATGTACATTATTATAGATTACTGTTAGATGAGAAACACAGTATTCTGATTGGTTGTTTCTCACTAAAAGTAAATCTTTCATCTCCTTGTAGCTGTCTCTTGAGTGTCAGATCATCTATCTGCTAAATGTATCCGCCTACGCAAAGTCTGCTGTCCGTCTTCGATCTTGTTTTCACATGGCTAATATTTGAGATATGAACATTGACGTAAATTACTGTCTACCAATTTGGCTAGCAGCCATCTCTCACCACATACTGACTTGTAGTTTACGCAGAAGTGAAGTGGTTGGGCGTCACGTTGTTTACCACATCACTTATTTGAGAAGTTACATCATTCTTAATGGGATGATTGTTGACGAAAACTCAGCACGAATACAAAAGACTCGTGTATCGTTTGCCAATTAGCGTTATATTTAGCTCATCGATCAAGGAATGTGTGTACTGCGTAATAGTTCTTTCAACCCTTCTTTTCGTCTATGAAACATGGCTTTTTAAAGTGGAAGATATGAAAATGTTAGCTATCAGTTGTTTCTGACGGACTCCGTTGGTAACCATAGGGGTTAGATTTCATTACACACACATACTGTAAACCAGTGTCTGCAGCTTGGTGTATTAACAATTTATTTCAATGGGATGATCAAGTGAGTGAAGTCCAATGTACTCTGGTAATTGCAATTATAATTAGAAGTTAATTGGTGGATGGCCACTAGCAATGGAATCCAGGATGCGCAATTCGTCCTATTTGGGACTCGTCTTTTGGATGTACCTGCATTCTGCAGTGCTGGCTGGTTTCAACATAGAACTTTACACCGATGTGCAGCAGTTTGAGTCACCACACTTCACTCATCACAGAAAGCCAGAGAAAAAAGTTAAAAGAAATGTAAAATAGAGATGGTGAACAGAGATATGAGGCAAAAATAATATTAATAGCGGAGAACAATATAGTTTTATTAGGTATAATAAGTCACAAGGAGTGAATGCATCTGCACCATTCCGCAGTGAGTGATGATGTTCCCACCGAGGCTCGAACCCAATGCCCAAAGTTTCAAACGCTAAAGCGTTATCCACTAGTCGACTTGGGCCACGAGAGGCACCTCCTTTGCAATGGGTCATATTAATTATTTAATTCAATTTTAGATTTTCCCGTCGATTGAATTAAACAATTATAATTATTGGCATATATCTCTGAGGAAATCACTTTGCCTTACTTAGTTGTATTTTGTATTATATAATGACAGACATGAACTCATCCATCCCTTGAGTTCCGATTGTAACATGTAGGGCTTCGACAGCACGCACATCACCACTTCAGTTAGTTCTCTGCAGCCTGATTCAATTGGCTCTGCAATCATCCATAAACTTTCGTTTCCTCCTCCATTGGACACCGCCGCTCAACTCATTGTTTCTCATTCAAGTTTCACTTCGGGGTCCTGCTTGGCGCTTGATTTCACTCAAGATTCTCCTCAGGTTACGTCAGGTTCATCTCCATTGTCTTCTGAACTCTGTTGTGCTTCAATCTATGCCACTTCAGTAGTTAATCTGTTGGAAGAATTAGTTGAATTTTGAAGTGTCAACTAGGAAGGAGTTGTTGTTCATATTGCAAAAACTTATTTATTCTTCAAGTAGATATTTATATCTTCAAGTATTGGTTTAGTAGGGATTTTTTTTCATTGCATAGAGGATTTCATCATGGGCAGTGACCATTAGGGTACAGCAGGTTGAAGATGACGCGGTAACTCATCGAAGAGGACATTGCGAAATGGTCGCGCTATGTCGTGAATTGGCAGAGGTTAGAATTCAAGGACCATTGGATCAGGTGCCAAAGGTTCTTGTAACCAGAAGGTCCTGGGTTCGAACCTTGGCGGTGGGTGCGTACTGATGAAGAGTCCCAAACTGGGACGAGACAGCTGGCTGTTCAGTACTCCCAGGTGGTTTTCCAGTGGTTCTCTAACAGATATTTACATATCAATAAATATTTTTCTGTAATATTATTTATTCTTCTTATAATTTATAGCATACAAAGAATAGTACAAAGCCTTTGGCGTATACACACTTAGATATTGCTTCAAGTCATGGACCGTGTCCTGGAATTCCAACCGGTGTGCCTATACTAACATTGGCATCACGTTATCTTATTTCAGAACAATTTAACTGGCCAACCAAGAGAAAATGAATCAGTCTATGAATTGTGTTTTTTGGGGGGAGGATAATTTTCGATAGTAGGATCAAATGTCATTGTCATAAATGATTACTTGTCATATTTTTTAGTGGTGCTGCTATAATTCATGGTGTATTTATGTGTGTCTGTGTTATTCTGTAATCAAGAAGAGTTTTGATTATGTTCTTTCTGTGTATGTGACTAGGATTATGATCTCTGTATTCGATTGTCTATGATTCTTTTTCCCTAAGCATCTGAATTTCTTGTATGATAATAAAAGAATCTTGTGACGTATTCCTTTGTTTGTGTATTCTATGCGTCGGTGGTGGTTCAGTGGGGAAACCTTGTCTATTTCAGTAGCCAATGTAGAAGGGAGCTTGAATATGAGGCTAGTAACTCTACTCGGTAGATGAAACACCACCTACATCACTGCTGAAACTTCAAAACACTTCCTATTCGACATAAGGGGAGCACTTACCTCGTTTTTAGGTTATTACTTTTTATGCTACTCATAAGTAATATAAGACAATCAATTATAATTAACTGTGACACTGATGCGTTGATATTGAAGATTGCAAATGGTGTAGAACAAATTTCGCAGTGTACTATAACCGTTTCCGGAAATTCATCTATAGTTGGCTGAATATTTTTAGAATTTAGAGAATGGTATACGAGCCAGCTTGCCTTGTAACTAGAAGGTCCTGCGTCCGAACCCTGGCGGTGGGTGCGTATCGCCGATGATTCCCAAACTAGGATGAAAGAGCTGTCTGGCAGTACTCCCTGGTTGGTTTTCAATGGTTCTCTAACTGATATCAATCCGTGGTCAAACTCGTATAAATAAATCTAATCCTTACAAACCAAACTCTTGATAATTTAGAGAAAGTCTTTTTTGTGATTACTTTGGTTTATACATATGCATTCATTAATTTGTCTACTTCTGATAGAGTGCTCATTCATATCTGGTAATGGAGACTGTTCGGTATTGACTGATGCAACAGAACTGTAAGTCAGATTGAGGTTCAATGCTGCGTAGCCTCAAGATAAATGCCATATGTGGAGGTCACTAGTATTCTTGTCGATAGATGCAAAAAGGTATTAGAGACGCGTTTTTGAGATAGTATACATCAATACTAAGGCTTTTCTAACTTCTGGCTGATTATCTTTCAAATTAGCTGGTGAATGTTACAGTTGGCAAAATTAAACTAGGTAGACCGTGTCAGAATTACTGTGGAACAAGTGAAATGATACCGGGGACAGTTCAAAGTGAGAATAGTAATAGTAACAATTGACGTAATAAAAGAAGAGTATACAAATTGCATAGACAAAATGAAAAATTTGGTAGAGCCAAAATATGATTAGGGATAACCATACTTTAGCATGGAGGGATTAAGACCATGAAAGTTGGAGGGGTTGAACGAACATTTTCTGTACACAGAGATGTGGCTTTTTTGTTTCTACAGCCAAAGCTTCAGCAATACGGATGAATCGGGTACGTAGTAATTTTGGTAAGTTACTCTTTGCCTTGTAGATGACTTTAAAGGCTGGGGCTGTAGTGATCCACGAGATGTTCAATGATCGTGCTTCTTATCGCTCCACTTCTAACTCTTCGTAACCATGCAGGATGGTTTTCTTGCACCCTCTTGGACAAATCTCGAGTCAAACAGCCGATATACCTAGCTCCACATGAGGAGGTGAATTGATAAACGCACTTAGAGTTGGTCAACAGCGGGATCTTGTCTTTCAGGTTATTGAACAGTAATGGTCGACTGGCAAAAGCTATTCTCAGAGATGCAGCAGGGAATGTTCTTTTCAGGGACTGTGATATCCTTCTTTTCATGATATCGGAAGCTAAGTCACCTTTGAATTCCAAGCTCATGTACAGTATTTTCTTGGGTGCGGATGATAAGTCACGTTTCATAGGATTTGAATGTATATTCTTGTCTATAAAACACGGTGGAAATCCATTTTCTATTAGGATTTTCCTGAAAAGATTTAACTCATCCTACATATGCGCCGAATGCGAGTGGAAAGCGACCGGACCAGGTTTCGTTTTCGACCAATGAGTACCCAGCTGTAGATATTCGTCAGTTGACCATTCCATGACAGCTTTCGATAAATCGATCTTTTCAGAGTTTCATTGGTCCTTTTTGATAAGTTCACATTGAGGAAATGAATGCTAGACTCGTTCTCCATTTCGAGAGTGAATTTTATCGCTGGATGGGAACCATTAAAGGCATTTAATATATAACTCAAATTACAATTATTATTACAAATAATAATACATACATACATACCTTTTATACATTTAAAAGCTTTGGACTGTTGACTTCAACTGACCCTTTTCTACCCTGGCCATAAAACAGTCTGCAAGGAGAGGACCCATCCTTCTGTCTGTAGATTTTTTCATTGAAAGTAAACTGTACATTCAATGTACATCTCGAAAGTAGTTCTTTCAGATCTGTAGTGGGTATCCCTATATTCAACTTGTTGTCTTCAATATATTTGCATATAAAACATATGGTTTCTGTCAGTGGTACGTTCGTAAATAGGGATTCTATATCCAAAGACAACATATGCCTATTCGAAGCATTTGTATTTTGTATACATTCAACAAATTGGAAGGTGTCACGAAGGGAATGATTAGATAGTCGTCCCCTGACGGTTTCGAGGATTTCAGCTAGCCATCCAGCTACTGGATGATAAGGTGATCCGGACATATCCAAGAGAGGGCATGCTATGTATATCTTCGGTAGACCATAACGTCTTGATATTAGAGATTCTGTTGGTCTAACGTTTTCGTACAGTTCTTCACGAATGAGATGATATATATATATATATGTCACTGCAAGGATAACTCTGGGAAATTGAATACTGGATAACTAAAAAGTGTCACTGGCTACCTAGAATTTCGAATAATGAGGAGTGGCCGAGTAGAATACTGAACAGCACCAGCTCATACTTATTACCTTATTTTCAAGTGCGCTGATCTTTTCTCTGACAAGCTAAAACTTCCACTTTCTACAAATGCGTCATTCAAGGACAAAACATAGACGATATGAATAATCAATTGTTGTCTCGGTAAATTTTGATTCTACTCTGGGTCACTGGGTTCATATTAGTCTGAAAACTGTTGTACAAATAGAAAATTTTTACTAGTGAGTGATTATAGTTGGTGGTGGTCTTCATTGTTACTTTGACCTTGAATATGTCCTTTTAACTTGACCTAAGTCTATTTTCTCACCTCTTACCTCTTTACTAATTTCATATATATTCCTATGACAAGTCCGTGTGTGCTGGATCAGATTGTTGCACAAATACATTACACGATTCAGACAAATTACGTCTTCTTATTGCTTTATCTAAATTCATAAAGGAAACTAATTGTTTTAAATTTTTAAAGAGAAGACTCCCTCCACACACTATCAAAAGGTTAAATGAACTTGTTAACCTTAGGTGTAAAATTATCGTCGAACGTAACACCTTGGAATTTTATGAATTATGTGTTAAAAATCATTCCTTCTCAAGGCAATTTTATAAAACTTTGAAATTCATGAAATTACAACCAAATATCTCTAATCTTGTTCGTCTTACAAAGTCACATATCGAAAATGTTAAACAAACGTTACGAGGATTACTTGTTCTTCATACCGATGCGTCACTTATTTTATCTGAATTATCAATAATATGCCACATGAAATTTCTTCAGTTTTGTAAAGACGTTACTCAGAAAACTTAGACGAATTTACAAAATAAGTTGAAGAGTTCAATTGATGATCGAAACCGCGTAGATGTTTTTCCGGTGAATCCTGATAAGTATGTTACAAATCTTTCTGATATTACTCTGTCTACTCATCAGAAAGAAGCTTTATCCCCTGGACTCAAATCTTGTGTTCCTCGCACGCAATTTACGGATTTAGCCATACATGCTGAGTTTGAAAAGAAGAACTTTACCGATCGTAATATTTACAACGCGACACTATGTAATGCGCTAGTGTGTTTTCATTTTTTCTAATTGATGATGATAGAAATAATTCATGCATAATAAGGCTACTTTTTAGGAAGTTGCACTTAACGGTACATGATTCTTCTACTTTTTGAGTAGTCTTCAGTAGAAGTATTAATTTCACCATAATTTATGATACTTTGTCTTCAGATAGCTATAGAATTCGACTGAGAAATTTCTACCCAAAATACGCAATTATTCAGCTTTTACGCTTTACAAGTTCTTGTTAATAATATACGCCATCATTAGAAATTGGAAACCCGCTGAATTATTGTACGTTTGAAGGTAGTTTTGTCACAAAGACGTAAGTACTGGTCAACTGTTTCATCCCATTTTTCGGTAGGAAGCACCGGTGACCTCTTCGGAGATTGAATCTAGGACGTCTAGGGTCATGAATCCTATCTTCTATAGATTCGCTACATACTGCACCACTCCAACCAATGTCATCAGGGTGTTTCTGTCATCATGCTTGACCTGCAGACCCCACGGGTCATAACCTCTGATTAGGATACTAGGAGAGTCATCTGGTCGTTAGTTATTAATCGATAGTGTTGTATGAAAATGAAGTGAAAAATTCCTAATGATCTACTCTAGTAAGCGAAATACACCTGTAGTTAGCGATCGCATATGACTTTCCATTTGTTAAATAGTAATATATATTGATTAATTGGCTAAAATAATGAACTAGGAGAACATTTAAGTATTCAGTCACTTCAATTGAATTTTAGATTTTCCCGTCGATTCGTTGGATAGAAGTGCTTGGTCTCAGGTTGACATGTCGGCTTCTTGTGCAGATGCTTCGACAATGTCTGGGCATTTAATTAGAATTCACTTTGCGGATGGTGACTAGCAGTGGAATCCAAAACGCGCATTTCGTCCTATTTGGGACTCGTCATCTGGATGTACCTGCATTTCCCACTGAGTGATGGTGATCCCACCGACGCTCGAACCCAGTGCCCATAGTTTCAAATGTCGAAGCGTTATCCACTAGACCACTTGGGCCATGAGAGCC